GCGTTAAATGGACAGTTCATGGACGATTCAATGCCCAACGGACTGGTCATTGATGTCCAACGTTCAGGTCCATTAATTCACCATTTACACACAACAAATCCTCCTATATAAAGGCTGGCAGGTGGTTTGCAACAACACACGTTCTTACACGATTTTACACAAATCCATACACGTTTTAGCTCTAAAAACACACTGCTAGCATTCTGAAAAATTTCTGAGTGTTCAGACTTGTTCTCGTTCGCTGGAACTTTTGTTTGTGTGCTCAAACATTAGTTCGTAGTCATCGTATCCTGGGAAACGATTGTTGCAACGCTCCTAGCACCGTGGGAGACAACAAATATGTTTTAAGGACATCGTGCGTAGCACGAGCTTTGACTAATTCTGCTTCATCTCCTTTCTTGTTTTTCTCTAGTCATTTTATTTAATTAATTTATTTTAATTAATTTTCTTTATTTTCCGAAACACACCCTACAGTTCAAACATAATATGGCAGGCATAGTTTCTTGGAACATCTGGAAAACCTACTGTGAGATTACTTGGGGAGGGGCGGTTGCTGTTCCTAATTGGTAGAGTATCATTTCTCAAATTAAATCTAGGCCTGGTCACATGCTAAGCTATCTAATGCCAAATTTGGAAAGCCCAGTTCAATTCTTTTTGAAGAAAGAATGATCAACCGATCGTTTCGAGTTAGTAAACCAAAGGTTCGAGCGCTTAGATGGGAATTACCTGATAGTGGACTTCAAATTGAATGTGGATGCTTTTTTGCTATGGATAGGGCATCAGGTGGTGTGGTGATTAGATCCAAATCAGGGGAAATGGTGGCGGCCATCCATTTCCCGATTTCTGCAAGCTCAGTAAAGGAAGCGGAGCTCTTGGCGATATATACATCTGTTCTTTGGGCGATTGAGCATGGTTTTCAGATGTTGGAGGTGGAGACTGATTCGAAGGTATCTCTGGAGGAAATTTTGGATGGAGTGGTGGAAGGTAAGTGGAGAAAGGTTTTAGAAGATCTGAGGAAATGGAGGGTCGAATTGCATATTGGCTTCAGACATATTCTGAGAGAAATTAATTGGACTGCCCATTTTTTTATCTAAAATTATATCTCATGAGCTGGTTTCCTATTTTACACATATTCAGCTTCCTATCCACATAAGACGTACTATTATTGCTGATAGACTGGGTTTGAGTTATTTTAAAATTACTTGATTATTTGTTCTGATTATTAGGTAAGGTTTGGTCCCCCTAATAATTGTTGCTTTTTACTTGACGGTTTTCTTGTATTTGTGAAGGGAATGCCCTTTTGGAAGAGGTCTTGGTATAGTCCCCTCTTCCTTTTGTAATTTTTTTGTTCATTAATAAAATACCGGCAAACGTTCCCCGACGTTTGCCCCACTGATTTTGGTGGTTTGCCTTCCGAGATAAAAAAAAAAGGTGGAACTTACAAATAATCTCAGGGTCTTGAAGAACAAAGGGGAAAACAACGTAAAACTCGTCCCTAAACCTTTCTCTAAATTCCGTAACCTCAAAATAGGGTTATGAAGGCCTTATTTATAGAAAACAACTGAATTCGGGCGAAACTGGGATTTTCGGAGGCAGGCACGGTGCCAATCATGACCGTGCCTCCCTCCATGCCTCCGGAGGAATCCCGCGTCTCGCTTCCAGGCACGGTCGTGCCTCCCGGTAGGCATGATAGTACCTGGACTTCAGTTGCTGCCAGGTCCGTTCTTCTACAAGCACGTCGCGCCTATCTGTTGAGCACGACCGTGCATGGCTTATTTTTTCCGAATTTGACAATGCTTCCTTCATGAAAGTTGTAGATGATGAAGTCCTCTATCCACATCAACTTGCAAAACTGGATTTCAATCATCCAATCAAAAGATATGAATAAAATGGTGGAAGGTCGCATTCTGATCGAAATTGCAACTGTGGATTGTTGGGCTTACCGCTACACTAAAAGCAATCGCTGATAGTGTAGCACGCTCCCCCCCCCTTTATAGCACATGCAAAGCGCCACGCGGTTCGATTGCACCGGCAGGCTGGACAATTGCTGGCACTGCATACCCGCGGCCCAACAATCTCCCCCCAGCACTTGCCAGCCTCAACTGCGCAACATGTTGTTGCCGGGGGTCGAACCTGTGACCTTAGCTCTGATACCAATTGTGGATCGTTGCGCTTACCGCTACACTAAAAGCAATCGCTGATAGTGTAGCACGCTCCTCCCCCTTTATAGCACATGCGAAGCGCCACGCGGTTCGATTGCACCGGCAGGCTGGACAATTGCTGGCACCGCATACCCGCGGCCCAACAGCAACAACGATCATCTGACTTCTTCGTCTGTTTTCACCTTGCTTCTCTCATATTCTCAGAATGGTGTCTTCATATTATTTGTAGCTCTTGAAGTTGCCGTTGATATGGAACTTGAATCGTGTCTTTTGGATGTTTCTACACTGAGATATGCGTGAAAGACTGACAGAACGTCATCCTGATCGCCGTTTTCAAATTCTATTCATCTTCTTTTGATCTAGTAGCCAATTCTACAACTCTTTTGTCATCAAATCTTCATCGTACGTAAACCTCACGGTGACCTCCAAAGCTCTCAAATCAATCTCAAATGCTTCTCAACTCGTCCCGATTGCTTCTTAAGCGCTGATGTCAGGCTCAAATTCCCTGATTTTTGACTCCAAACAACACAAAACTCGAACCAACGCCCGGTAAACATAACTTGAGCTAATATTGAGACTTAAGACACCTAAAAGTTAGGAAAATCATCAAAAGCTGATCCCAACACGCATCAAATGTGTGTTGTAATACAAACTTATCACATATATGGATTGAATTCTAAAATGAGTAAAACATGAATTAATCTTCTGGTGTGCAATTGATATTTCAACGTGAGTTACCTCATACCCATATATATTTAGATTACACTCTAAATATAGCCATTGCAAGAGAGATTGACATGTGGCATTACCATGTGGAGAATAAATGACATGTGGCAGCATTTTTGTGAGAAAACTCTAATATTTGCTGCATCAAAGGAGGTCATTACTACACGCAAACCCAATATAATAATGGTGACAACTCCGGTACCCTTTTAAAAATTGGGGTACCGTACCTACCATGCATTTGATTGGTCCAAATCATTCTATTCCTTTTAATTTAGATTTAATTAATTCATCTGCATCATTCTTATTGGTCCATGTGGACAAAGGTATGATACCTTAAGGGTACCATAGAATCTACCGATAATAATTGCACAACATGGCATCATACGTACATATTAGTACTAGTATATTCTTATAGCATTAAAAGCATTTTAAAATCAGAAAGCAAAATTGCCATTTGGCTGCACAAGAACATTTACTCAATGAACATCAAAGGACTCACCACTGCACACACACCCCATACCATATCTGCACGCACACCCCATTTAGAATTCATGAAGATTTTAGAAATCAAGATCACTTATCACAACAACATAACCTAGTGTTGTAAAGGCTCCTACCTACGGTGGGGCAAGTGGGTCGGACGTACACAACCCTACCAAGCACAGATATGCTATTTCCGAATGACCCATAATTAAAACCGTGTTGAAAATTGCATAGATTGAATGTTGCTTCATGACAAAAAAACGATCATGGTTTAGTGAGTCATTTTACTTTATTCCCTCATTTTCCAAGCCAAAAGATAGTAAGGGGTAGTTTAATAATACAGAATTTCTCAGTTTTCCATAAAATTGAAAAACTGGAAAATGGAAAATTGGAATACGCGTTTACGAAAAAAATGTTGGAAAAATAGAGAAAGAAAAATAGGAAAATGTGTTATCATATCATTTTCCAAAATAAAAAATAAGATATGTTTATGTTTTCACTAATGAATTGGAGAAATTGAGTTTTACTAGATTTCCAAATTCAAAATGCATGGACGCTGCATTCTCGCTCCGGTCTTGGTTCCGGTCTAGTCCGATCAATGACCGGGTAGTCTTGGTCCGGTCGACGACCCAACAATCCTGTCATGGTCCGATCCCCATTTTAAAATCATTTTTCAAAATGAACAGTTTCAAAAGTTCTGTTAGATTGTCGACCAATAGGGAAAAATGAAAAGAATTGGTCAAACTAGTTGTTGGGCAGGGGCGGATCCAGGAATGCAGGGTGGGGTGGGCTAAGCAGTAAAAGAATTTGTTACTGCACACAAGAGGTTTAACTTAAGGCTGTTATCGAACCAAACTTTTTTTTTGAAGTATTCAAGTTCTAGCATGATTTCGAATTTAATTTAACAAACCGAACTTAGCGAAGTTCAGACTCGAACACGGGCTAGATTTTTAGTTGGAATAGTTATTGAAGCCAAGTTCAAGCATAGTGATATTCAATTCGGTCCGAACTCGAGCCTATCGATAACTCATAAATTATAGGAATAAAATTTATATATCTTAACATTTAAATGTTTTAGTGCAATTTTATAATTTTTTAATGATTATTAAAGACTCTAGTATTTATTGGTATGAATTGAAGTACTTCTTTAAAGGTATAAAACTAATAAGTAAAAAGAATCGGTGTACATATAACTAATAAGTATTCCTATTTCACAATTGAATTGAGATTTTTAATTTTTTTCTTATATTTCCAAACAATAAATAAATCTAGAACTATTAGGTAGTATATAAATGTAATCTTAAATAAAAACATGCAATATTTTACAAAAAAAACTCATGATTCTTTTTCCCGGTAGATAAACCACTAAAATCAGTCGGGAGCATTGCCAAGTTTTATTAGGGAAAAAAGAAAGTGCAAGAGGAGAAGGGGACAACTGGACAAGACCAAGACCTCTCCAAAAAGGGCATACCCTTTTTAAAAAACAATGATAATAAAAATAGTAAAATTGGGCCATAAAAAACCCAATTAAAAGAGAAATGAGAAAAAAGGATACCAAAAAGAATCATGATAAATATAATAGTATTACTATATTAATAATAGTAATATAATATAATAATCGTCAAATTATTGTTTAGCATAATAATTTTGTAAATTGATGTTGTAATATAAAATATAAAATACTTCCTCCGTTCGGAAAAGAATGCAACATAGAGCTGGGCACAGATATTAAGAAGGACAGAAACAGTAATTATCTTTCCTATTTTGCCCTCCATTACACGGACAAAGCATTAAAGTACATAAAGTGCTACAGTGCACATCATCTGGCACAACGTTCTTTGTACACTCCACACACGCAATCAAGAACGGATCGTCACGTTTACTGATCATCCCTTTTCGCGACGAATTTCTCGGCACCGGTGGAGCTGTGAACGGCGGTGGAGGGATTTGCAGGCCTCGGTGGTATTTCAGGGGAGACATCCTGCATCCATCATGCGCCGCCGCGCGCGGCGGAGGTGGAAGCTTGGGGTGATGAACATGAAAGATTGGCACTGCCGCCTTTCTGATCTCGGGTTTTCGTTCCTAAGAAAAGGCAAGCCTCCCTTGGAAGAAAGGATGTGATTTTCACTCATCAATCGTAAAACCCTTTCTCTATTTCTCTTGGTGGAGTATTCATTTATGACCATGTCTTTCATTTCAATGGTAATTGAAGTACAAATGTGAGAAAACAAAAAAAAAATGAAGAAGATGGTGAAGAGAGAAATAAAGAAACGATTGAGTGGGTGAAGAGAATCGGTGGAAGAGAAGGGCTGTAAAGAGGAATGAAATGGGTGGGTGCCGGTGGGTGGAAAAATTAAAGGGAATGTTAGAAGAGGAAGGGAGTAAATAATGGAGGGTATAAAAGTCACTTTGGATAATATTTCATTCCTAAAATAGAAATGTTGCATTTAATTTGAAACTGCCGAAAAAGGAAAGTGTTGCATTTATTTAAGAACGGAGAAAGTACTATAACTTCAAAGGAGTAAGTGATGATGTGGTGTTAGTGGGTGAGATAGGAGTATTGTACTCCATATGTAAAAAAATCTCAATTTTTCCCACACCGGTTGCAAATAATGGTTCATCCTACTCAGTATCCTATAAAAGAATTGCTCCTTACGTAAATTGGAAGCAACAATGACTACAAATCTACAATAAGCCCCTTGCTCGGATTTATGCTGTGGGACCATATGTTGTCATGGTTATGGCCTTATGGGCTTTTAATTGTTTGACTTGTCTTTAATCATGCCTTTGGTGTGGGCTAGACAATACTTTTAGGATGGGCTGGATATGAAACCAATACTAATAATAATAGAAAAAAATAGGTTGGGCTGGGCTGAAGCCCACCCTTGCCCCTTAATAAATCCGCCCATGTTGTTGGGACTAATCGGGACAGGCTGGTTTCAGTCCCAACTTTCCTATACTCGAGACCAAATACTCTATTTGGGTTGTACCAATCCGGGTTCTAGACTAGGACTGTAATTTTGGTCTTTCTGTCGATCCTAGAATCGAGTGAAAATTTTAGTGAACACATATTTTAAAAATGAAAAACCTAAAAATGAAAATAGAAAATTGAAGAATGAAAAATTGGTAAATCAAAAGAGAAAATTAGGGAACGGAAGATAGAAAAGAAAAATGAAATCACTTGTGCTAAGTTGCTAACAAACAAAGTTAATTGCAAATTTAGGTGGTTTCATTTGAACGGTGATTAAAAATTAGAAATGTTCCGCACAACATTATTATCAGATATGTGCCACACATAATGCTGCTAGCTATCGCAACCTCAGCGAGTCAGCAAGCTATGTCGTCGCGCCCTTACAAACCGATGAGCTCTCCAATGCTCCTTTCCAACAAAAACAATGGGAGGAGAGAGAGAAGAGAGAGAATGGTGGGGGATCGGGAAGACGGAAACTCCGAGGCCGGGAAGAAGATAGTGAAATTTACGAAACGAGCCATTAGAGATTTTCAGTTATGGCAGAGCTTTTTCAACACCTGTCTTCCCTCCTCTGCTCCCACCTCTCCTTCCTCCTTTCCTTTATTACCCGACTCCATTTCCCATTCACGCCATCATTACTGAGCCCAATCAAATTATCCGACCTCAGTGATATATCAATGGAGCGATTTAGTGAGAATTTCGAGAGAGGAAAAATGGAGCGTGAATGAATGAATGAGGATCGAACAAATGTCATGCAGATCGGCGAGGCATCTTTGCCCGATTCGCTCAATTTAGGAATTCCACATTATTGAAATCCCCAATTCCGATTCCGCATCGATTTCTCTTGCGAAAACTGAGGAGGAGCGTGGTGGAAGAGGAGAGAGAGCTCAATTGGTGGCGAGGAATGGAGATTTCCGAGGTCTCTGGTGCGCTGGCAGCGCAGGACTCCTCTGCAGACCGTTTCAGCTTTATGGCCATGGCTGGATTTGGATCCGGCTCTATAAATAATCATCGCGATTATAACTTCAATTACATTAATATTGGTGATGATAATGCCACCAATCCCCTTCTTCACCAATTCGGCAACTCCTGTTCCTCTTCTCCGCCCGTCGATCACCATTTGACGCATCCCCACCTTGCCGCACCGTCCTCCGTCAATGCTCATCAGCTCCGGAAAAGGATGCGCAGCCGTCGCCGGCGCCGGTCTTCTCTCAATTTCTCTCCGCTGCTGCTGCATTGCCATTCTGCCTTTCACCTCCCGCGCGTCTCTCCTCCTCTGTATCCTACTCCTCCAGTACGCTCTCTCTCTCTCTCTCTCTCTCTCTATTTTCCTGTATTTATTTTTTAGTTTTTAAAAAACTTGCAACAAAAGTTGTCTTCCTACCTTTTTTAGAAATTTTCCTAAAATATTAGGGAAAATAAATGTGATTAAAGTTAGAGTTTTTTTTACAAAAGTATTGTTAAAATGAACAAATATATGACTAATAGTTGATTTAGTATTGTCTCATAGGCACTTAAGTATAAAAATTGAACACAAACTACTAGATCTAAATAACTACGGAGTATTAGTCACACTTATGAAGATATCACATTATACTGAAATATTTTAATAATATTTTTTTGAGAGATTTTAATACTACCTCCATCCCATATTAATCGTTCACTTTCAATTTGGCACGATTATTAATTAAGTGGTTGAAAAGTAAAAGTTGTGATTGAGATTTGAGTAGAATAAAGTGAAATAATAAGGATCACATATTTCTTGCCAAAAAAGGAAACAAGACATTCATTTTGGGACAACCCAAAAACGAAAGTACGACAACCAAAATGGGACGGAAGGAGTAATATTTTTGAAAAAATTTCAAATAACATTAATTTAAGTCATATGTATGCAATTATTTCTTAAAATCACTATCATGTAAGATGGTAAATTATCATAACTATTTTTTCTCATTTCAAGAATGTTGGACTTAACCTAGAACAAATACTTTAGGTTAGAAAGAACGGTATAAAAAAGAGAGAATTCCCTAAATAGGAGTAAAAAACTTTTGAAATTCCAAAATAGGAGTATCATGTTTTTATTCCCTAAATAGGAGTAAATTTTTGCCAAGTTTGGAAATTACAAAACTTTAAACATGGCATTTTTTTCCAAACTTGGCAGATTACTCCTATTCAGGGAATAAAAAACATGATACTCCTATTTTGGAATTTCAAAACGTTTTTACTCCTATTTAGGGTAATTTCTGTATAAAAAATTATTTTTTATTAACTTAACTACGTAGTACTACTATTTATAAAAGGTCACCTTATTATTCAATATTTTCATTCTATTGAGTCATTGTTTCTTACTACGTATTTTTGTAATTTTATGAGGCAGTAGGGAGTACAGAGTACTTCGTACGGAGAATTATTTATTCTTCCCTGTCAATTTTTTCTCGGCTGTATCATTCTTTCCGTGATTTTGTTTATTGCGTGGTGCGTTTTTATTTGGTGTTACCGACATCACCCTGGGAAGAAAACTAAAATACGGAGTAAAATTTAGCATTTTTCCACCTCTCAAATTTTTTCCCAACCTTTGAAATTTAAGAAAATAGAGTTTGCAACATTTTTTTTTGTAATTTTAGGATAATGGAGTATTCGATTGGTTTAGCAGTTAGCTTGTTTGCAAAAGTGCTTCACCTTTTATCTTTAAAACTGTTCTTTTACCAGATCTTTAAAACTGTTTAAAATAGTATACGGAGTATTCAAACAACTATTTATATTTGAGATAAGCACTTTAAATGGAAATAGCCCCTATATTGATATTAATAAGGGTTCTTCTATGGTACCTTCTAAAATAAACCATGTACCGGTACCTAACATCTTAACTTTTTAGCCAATAGCGTTATAATATGAAGACACGTTAGCATATTAGTCACATTAATATACTAATTTTTATTATTTGCATTTTAGTCCATAATAAAAGAAGAGTTAACAAATGAAACACTCATATGTTTGCCAACTGCTCATGTCATTGCGGTAAGATTCCCAAGAAGCCAAGCCGATGAAACTCAAAAACGTCGCAGAAGTGAATCATATCACTAAATCACTAATCAATTATTGGGTCCAGAACTTTTACGAAAACAGACCAATCAAATATAGTAAAAACAATAGAATCTAAGATTTTGGCTTCCAATTTATGAACAAGGCATCTTCTTTCTTATGTGGTTGCTGTTGCTGCATCTTCTCATCTCTTTCTTGGGGTGGAAAGATCTTAGGCCGGGAATTTGAGATTGTATTTTATGAGCCGAACCGATCCGTTCACTTGTTAACTGTTTTACTAGGGACTAAAATGAAAATAATAAAACTGATAACTAGGATGTTAACGTGGCCTAATAGGATAAAGTGATTGGCTAAATATTTTGGGTATCGGTACATCCTTTATTTAGGAAGGCACTATAGAATTTCCCTATTAATAAACCAAACAATGTTACTCCGTACAATAAACTCGGGACCATACTAGTTTCTGACATAAGTCCAGTAATATGACTTTGATTCTGCCAATCACCGCATAAGTCCATAATTCTGACTTTAATAGACAAAAAACTGAAACTTTACATTATCATATATTACCTCCGTCCCATAAAAATTTGCCAAGTTTGACCGGCACGGAGAATAATAAAGTAAAAACTGTGTGGTTGAGATTTGTGCAGAGGAGAGAGAAATAACAAGAACCACAAAATATTGATTAAAAGGGAAAGTGGCAAAGTTTTTTGGGACGTCCCAAAAAGGAAAGATGGCAAAGTTTTAAGGGACGGAGGGAGTACATTACCATATAAGTCGTCATGTTTCTAAATTGAAAAACTAACAAATCTACCAATTCAAAGAGAATGTATAAATATGAATTCAAGATACTCTAATAATCGAAAACTCGAAACTAAAAAACAAACAAACCAATATAATGAAATAATAAAGCAACATGCCATATGGGTCCAGTTATGTGGCATCATATTTTGATTCTATTGGACTTGCAAATGGATCCGGAGCCTCTACCTTACTTTAGAGTAAGGTAGAGTGTCTTGCTTTTTCCCGGTCGTCTGATCGACAATTCAACGGTCCGAGATCTTGGGCTCCACTTTCTTGCTGATCTCGAGGCCGTGTTGGTCGCTCCCCTCCCGTCCGATGTGCAAGGCACCATCCTAGTCGGGTAGAGGATCCCAATCCCATTAACTTGCAAATAGGCTAAAAAGCAATGTCATTTATTCTAGTCTTGTAGATAGTACTTAATAGTTTTAGAAAAACTTCGTAGTACTCCTTCCTCTTGTGGCGGTGATTCTGGAGTGGACATGCCAACGGTGTCATCAAAGATATTTGATGAAAACA